AGTGTTTATTGTGTTGTACCTTTTGACTATAGCTTTAAGATGTATTGTATAGTGACCATGAATCCTTGGCTCTGTTAAGTTAATTCGGTTGAGCCTTATCAAATAAATTAATAAACAAAAAAAAAAAAGAGGCTTTATAATAGTGCACATGAAACACTTTTCTCAACTAGTTACCTCAGCTTTGTAGAGGAGCAGAGTAAAAGCTGTAAAACTGCGTCTAAAAATAAACCTAGTTGGCTGTAAAACTGCTTCCAAAGTAGCGCTAACACAATTTATTACCTGATTACAGGTTGTTTAGCACTTTTAATGTTTATGTTATTCAGCAAGAGTTGTTGGTTGTGTAGAAGCCATCAAATGAGTAATATATTCACTTTGTTAGCTTTGTTTTGCAGCTACAAGTTGAAAGTTGATTAGTGTTTGCATAGAAGTGACATAAACGTTTATTGGCTCTTGTTATTCAGTGCAACTGACAAATTGAATAATGGTTGTGAAAAAGTTGAGTAGACGCTCTCCCAAACTATCCCAAGTAACAATACAAGCTGAACATTAAGAACAGAAGCTGATTATTGGTTGATTTAAGGTGTACAAAGCTGATTAACATCAGGCTGAATATATAGTTGATTAGTAGTGCATGAAGCGAATTGCATCCCCATAATCCAACCTCAATAAGTTAGCTGATCTAAAGATTGAACAAGCCTTATTTAAGCTTAACACAACTCCACAAATCAGCAATGCGTTACACATATATTGATAGCTTGATTTGTTAAATGTCGTCAGTGTCTGTTTCACTCGTTGCATGCCCGGCATTTTAGTTCTACTAAATTCACTGCCTACCTTTCTAATTACAGGCAGTGGCAGCAGTAGAGTCAAGGAAAAGAAGATTTTTAGGAATACCTTCAGGTAGAAGTGGTCTGCGAGGACGTCGGAAGTATTAACATTTGTACTTCTGTGTTTTGACTGTTCACCACTTTATATTGTACTGAATTTTCAGACCGCATTCCAAAAATATTACTCAATTATGGCACTAAAATAGCATCCAAATGACCATCAAACTTGAAAATGAGAGGAATGTTCAACTGTCACCAGTTGTTGCTTGCAATTCTGCATTGCTGTATAATACTCTTCCGGGTGCTGTTATTCAACTTAAATTTGACGTGCTTCAAGTTAATGATCATACCTTTTACAACACATATGCCTAAATGGTCCAGTAGGTATGGTTGACGCCTATGAATCAGCGACTGCCGGTTCGAATCCCGAAATGCAAAGGTAATTTTTAGACTTATATTAACAATATAAATAAGTCAATCCAATTAGTCAGCAACAAGTTGAAACAGTTCCAACATAAATGCATAAGATATAAAGCGGTCTTCCATTATTATTTTTGAATTAAAACTAGAAGGCTGAACAAGGGTTGGAAAAGACTGTTATTTAATGCCTTAAAAAGCTTATAATGTATATTACTGTTAAGCTTTTGGCTGATTAATATCACCAGATTTAGATGTTTAAAAGCTGGACAAAGGTTATCGTGGTCTATGTACAGCAATTATTCAATCTAAGGCTAAATTGAAATCGATTAATCAACACTTGTTCAGCATCAAATTGCTACCTGGGATGTTGCTAGCTTCTGCTAATAGCTGTATCTGTAGCTTCTTTTCAACTACTTTACAGCCCAACGCTAAAAAGTTGGCTTATAAAGCTGAAAATGTTAGTTGGGCAGTACAACATCTTGAGTCCGGACATTCCCACCCGGTTGAGTAGGTCCGGTGCTCACGCCACCATCGATATCTACATCAGCAACATGGGCAACAACATTTCGCAACCTGTCGTGTATCAGGAACTCAGCTCGGACCTCTATCCGGTGGTGGCTGAAGTGGGTTCCTCAATCAACAAGTTCAAAGCATCACGGCGAAACTATCATCGAGTAGAATGGTCGCAATTCCAATACCACTATCGACTATGACGTCCACCCGGAAACGACCGACGACATCGACCGGTGTCTGCGCTCCATCGGTGAAGCGATTTCCCTGGCCCGGGAGCAACATGTGCCAGTATCCAGACAGGTGAGTAGTACTCTGAACCTTGAAAGATCTACCAAAGACCTTATAAGACTCCATAACACCATCCGAAGGCAGTACCAACGCTCTGGTCTGCCTGTCCTTAAGACCCACTGTAATCGCCTAACAAAAACAATCCAAGCCAGGATGATGGTGGACCTTAGAAATCAGAACTTTGCTAACAGGATCCGCTCTCTCCCAGATTGTGCAGATTCTTAAAAATAAGCCAAGACCCATTCCACCACTGACCCACTGGATCGTTACGGCGACCCAGTGGTTCATCTATAACTCCTGAAGAGAAGGCAGCTGCGATAGGTCAACACTTCGACAGCTCCCATAATCTCGGACAAAACATCGTCAGCCCTCCTCACGAAGCAGAGTTTGCTGAAAACTAAACCAACCTCCATCAGATTCCCAATATTTTTCCCGAGGAATCCGAGATTACTGCAAACGAACTGTTGGCCTATATCAAATCATCTAAAAACATGAAGGCCCCAGGTTTCGACAGCCAACACAACCATCTGGCATTGATTTTTAATCTGTGCCTCCGACTTGGCTACTTCCCCTCGTGCTGGAAGTCAGCTGAAGTCATACTCATCCGGAAACCTGGGAAGGATCCGTCCTCTCCTTCAAGTTATCGACCAATCAGCCGTCTCTTAGGGTTATCAAAACTGTTCGAAAGAGCAGTCTACCACCGGCTACTAACATCTGCCGAAGAAAACAACGTGTTACACGAGGAACAGTTTGGTTTTCGAAAAGGTCGTTCGACCGTCCACCAGCTGACTCGAGTAACAAACATTCTCAGACGGAACAAGTCTGTTTCGAAAACATCTGCCATGGCGTTGTTGGACGTTGAAAAAGCGTTCGACAATGTCTGGCATGATAGCCTGGTGTTCAAATTGCAGCAGTATGGTCTTCCAATCTCCCTAGGGAAGATAATTAACAACTATCTATCGAACAGGATGTTCCGAGTCTCTCTAAATGGCATCACATCGGATGCCGGGGTTCCACAAGGAAGCATTCTTGGCCCCATTATATTCAACCTGTTCACCTCCGATATGCGGGCTGTCCCTGATGGTGGATCGTTGTCTCTGTTCGCAGATGACACATCCATCGTCTAAAAGGATAGGGTCAACGGAGCTCTGACTGCCAAACTTCAGAGAGGCCTGGACATCCTGTCTGAATATTTCAACAGCTGGAAGATCCGTACCAACGCGGCACGAACCCAGGTCATCATCTTTCCATACTCTAAATTTCATAGACTTGTTCCGTCGGCGAATAATAAGATCTGCCTGAACGGCACAGTGGTGGAATGGTCCAAAGAGGTAGTCTACCTCGACTTAACACTAGACAACAAGCTGCTTTTCAGGGAGCACGTTGACAAAACCAAAACCAAGTGTAACATCTTGATAAAATCACTGTATCCACTCATCAACAGGAGGTCTACTCTATCCCTGAAAAATAAGCTTGCTCTCTACAAACAAATCATCCTTCCCGTAATAGAATACGGGATGCCAATCTGGGAGAGTTGCGCCAAATTCCATCACCTCAAACTCCAAAGGATCCAGAACAAGATCCTTAGCATGGTCCTAAATAATCCCCCACGAACTAGAAATTTTTATTTATTTATTTATTTATTTATTTTATTTATTTATTTATTTAGGCGTGATCAGAGATGTTATGCCTCAGAACATCCTGGCGGCGCCGACTGGGATTGAGCCCGGGCCTGCTGGGGTGAGAGGCAATCACGCTAACCACTACCCCACCGGCACCGCTATGTTCCAAAGGATAATACTGGACGATTTTTTTTCGGGAGATTGATTTCAATTTGATTATTTAAAAAAGTATGTGTACGTAATTTGGACTTATCAGCGCATCCCATATGATTCCAGAATATATATTTTACCTGTTCCTGAAAAAGAACCTGACAACGCTGTTCACAGTGCCAAACCAGAACCATCCGTCTTTTTTTCCCCGTTTTGCTATTTGTGTGCGTGTGTTTTGTGCGTACAAGACCTCGTTCTTTTATCCGTTTTTTTTTTTTTTTTTCTTGGATCCGTTCCATTGTATTCGCAGACCGGGTTACAAAAGACATCTCCAACTTTGCTGGTCCCGTTTGAGGCTTTTGTGTTGGTATTGTGATGTTGTCACGGTGGGTCCAGTGTTTTTGGTGCCTTGCGTCGACGAAGGTGGGAGGGAGGAATAAATTAATGATGTGGTGATAAATTAGTTGACTCTCTTTACCACGGGGGAATGTTAGGTACCTTCCTTGGAATTCGTTGAAGGGTACCGGGGACAGATATGCTGAAGCCAGCGAATGACAAGTGGAAAAGTCGCAAAGTGGTTTACTTTTCCATGTATTCTTCTTTTCGATTGGTTGCGGAAGGGAGGGGGTGTGAGGGGTGACACAAAACGACCACCACGGGAGACTGACAGCGGATCATGATTCGGGGTTATCAGATCATAAAGGCCTTATTTTCCGAAGGTAGTTTCGTTTTCCTCGGGTGCGTTCCGTATGGTGACGTGAATGACGCTGATTATGGCTATCGGTTACATGCCGACCGATAGCTGAATGTATGGGTGCGTCAGTGTCCTACAGTTCCTTTTGTTGGTAAACAAAGAACATGCTTCCGATTGAACGAAGCAGTGATGATAAATGTACGTTTGGGGGGGTAAAGACCGACGAACCTGATCCAACCGAAGCTCAATTTTTCATCGTCTCCAGTGCAACGGTCAGACCGCAGATCAAAGTGGCAACAGAAAGCTGCCTGTCAAGGTGTGTAGTATGTATAATGTAATGTGTAGCATCATTAATTCAGGACTGGAAATACCAGATGTTTGTTTATTTCTGTGCATATCCCGGAGACGGACACAGCAAAACAGACAGCGCTAATTCTCTTATCATTATCAGGCGAGAAGCAACTCGACACTGCCGTTGGCACTTACCTTTTAAATGATCCGGCTGGGAGGCCTCGCCGACATTCCGCATGATATCGCTGAGGCAGTGCTCCAGCGAACGCATATCTAATCCATTGTTTAATCCGGTGCGGTCCTGCAAGGCAAGTCAAGACAAAGAAGAAGAAGAGTATCAGTATAAGCAGTGTCGAAAAGTTTTGGGGGCTTTATAACAAGAATGTTTCGAGTCCGGTCGGGAGGTCACCGCGGGAAGGCGGCAGAGAGTGAGTAAGATTAAGATTTCAGCGGTAATTAATGTGAGGTTCACTTGCGAGTGGAAAGTTGAGTGCTTTTTCACATTGGTGGGCAAAATGTTAGTGGTTGAATTTTGGCTCCGTTTGAGAAGCATTTTAAGGAAATTTTGGTTTTACCACGCAGTGATTTCCATATAAACTTCAAATGGATTGTGCCAAGTCAGTTTCTTACCAAATGAGTTTAAATTTTGGGAGGCTAATCAGGAACCGATTTGCAGCACTGTGGAGTGAACATTAGAAATTTCGCATTATAGGGTATCCCACATCAAATTGCATCACGGAAAAAACTCTGTAGATTACCCATTGGGTATTTTCTCTTGAAAATTTGGGTAGAAGTAGTTTAGAGTGTATTGCTTACGAAAATTGGAAAAAATGGCGTCACGCGAAAAGCAACTTCGCGAATTTATTTTACGCAAGCACCTGCAAAATCCTCAATTCTCTCATCGTGACATCGCAAAACAACTCTGAATCGTGCAGTCAACGTAGAGTCGTGTGATTAAACGTTACTATGAAACTCTGAGCATCCAACGGAAGGAGAAATGCGGTCAGAATGGATGTTCTATTAGTGATCAGGACCACAAGCGTGTCGTGACAGCGATTAAGCGGAACCATAATGCTTCGGTCAGGGATGTGGCCAAAAAGTTGAATCTGTCCAAATTTTTCGTCCAGAGAGCCAAGGACCGGGAAGGATTGCATACGTAAAAAGTGCAGAAGGCTCCAAATCGTGATGAACGGGAAAATACGGTGGAAAAGTCACGGGCCCGGAAACTATACACCCAGATGCTGACGAAGCCTCATTGTCTCATCATGGATGATCCAGTTGAAAAGTTTGAAAAGGATCGGTCTACTAGGTAATTTTCTACAGCGTTTTTTTTTTTTCTTGAAGCAATTTGATGTGGGACACCCTTTAGTCTAATGAGAATTTTTAATTTCGTAGTTGCTATTCCGTGATTGACCAGCTCCAGCATAATCTACATAAAGAACCTTGACTTGAGATTTGGTGATCCATCCACAGTTGCAAAATCCGTTGAATCAATATTTTCAAGGTCAATAACGGAGCCGGCCACATACTTACGATCATCGGGGAAAGAAAGGATTGTTAGTTCGACACCCGTTGTTACTAAACTGTCTATAATTGCATATCAGACCCATATGAATTTCCGTCAATTTTAAGATATTAACGCTATCCACTATCAAGTGGCATCTGCTTTCATATTACGTGATAAAACTAAGGACTTGAACCATGAGAAATGTGAAAACAACATCAAGTTAGTTTGTCCCATCAAGCAAAGTAATCGCATATTAGTCTCAACCTTAAAATAAATTATTCAGAGGTTAAGTTACAGTTCTGCTTTTTGAATCGCCATATTTTTCGCAGATATTACAAACCATGCAAGCCGCATTGCTACTGATTTTAACTTTACAAAATTATCGATTTATTTACTTTGATTTTTTAAATATTTACATGGAAATTGCACTTCTTAACTTCAACTGCCATTTTCTCGATGCCTACTTTTTCCATATAGGACTGATCCGGGATTATAGGCAGTATTGTCGCTATACGTATAGTCTGGTGGAGAGGAATTCCATCTTGCAAGAAAAGGAAACAATTCAAACGGGCTCAAATTTTACAAGCAAAACTAAGATAGACCATTTCTTACCAACCGAATGCAAATTAAAAGCAAAAGGGAATAGGACAATTTTTCCCCAAGCCAATAATGGTGTTGTTTTGCGTAGGCAAGCTTTCAATCGCAAGAAAACTGTTTCCGGAATTTCAGTTGTAAAACCTGATATGCTCTTTTCTGTTGCTGGTCGTGATATGTTCGATTGGTTCCGCTATTTGACAGCTCAATTGGCTCTCCGCCAGACTGTAAATATAGCGAATGCAGCGAACGTTTGTCAGGTGAAGGTTGATTTTGTTAGTGGGAAGGGTGAATTGAAAAGTGATGCGATCTTTTAAAGCACGGTAAGCAAATGATGTGACCCTAACAATTCAGTAATGTAAAGGGGCTTGGGTTCTAACCCACGCTCTTCTGCTCAGTTAGCAAAAACGGTCACTTCAAGGCCACCGTGTCCCTTACAGGTTGATTCAGAGTACCTGTCATCGATTTCACATGACGGCAAGTATTTCTGTTTTAAAGTGTGTACAAATTTCAGCTTGTAATAATCGTTGGATTTGAAATTGGATTCGTTTTCGATTTAAAACAACAATGTAGGTGAAAAATGGAGTATGTTATACATTTGTATAAATTCTTCGAAGCTGAAATCTCTTCGAGTGAATGAAACATTTGTTTTTAGAAAAAATATAGAGGTACAAAGGAACCATACTTGAAAACCCATTCAATATCAGTGCTTAAACGCTTCACCAAGACACCACAAACTTGCGTGCCAGCTGTGATTAATTTGTGTGACAAATGTGGGTGGTAATTAAGGTAAAGGGAGAGAGATTTGAATTAAACTATGAATTAAAGTTGAAGGTGATATATGTAGTACATCTGAAATAAAACCATTTTTTTTAAACTGATCGTTACTCCGAATCACCCTGTATATCACAACAAACTACGACCGACGATCGGTTACAAGAAGCTACAGCTATCCCCCGAAGAACGCGTTACCCACTGAGTTGCACCCATCGCTTTTTCTCGGCGGGGTTTCAACCAGTCGGTCTGATTTTTTGCATGTGAGTAGTGTCATGGAGAACTAGTCACTCGCAGAAAGTCAGAGCGGTTGGTTGAAGCCCCACCGAGACAAAGCGGTGGGTATAACTCAGTGGGTAACGGGTTCTTCGGGGGAAAGCTGTATTCAAGTGAAATGACATCCCGAAACCAGTTAACAATGCTTTCCAAGCCAATTATTTCATTTTACCTAATCATTTTTTTTGTTTAAAACAATGTTTTTCATCTGGAAAAAAAAATCACTAAATCTTGTGAAGAGAACTGCTCAAGATACTAAAGCATCAAAACGCGCATTGAGGTGGTTCTGTGCAAAGCCAAGCGCTCCCATTGGTGAAATTTCATTATTATGGTTGAAGTGAAATCTGTTATGAAATCACTTTAAGAGATGGTAAATGATATATAAGAACCGGTGGCCAAAGGATGGTCCTTAGGATGATGCGAAACATCTGTAAAAGTTGTCAATTATTCAAACCGAATCCAAAATTCTGCTATTTCAGTTATTGACTGTTCCAGAAAGTATAAGCACACTTTCAAAATAACAAAGAAGTCATGTTTTTTTTAAGTTTTAATAATTTTATTTGGCAAATCATATTTGTATATGTATTTCAAATGATATTTTTTCCTCTCGTTTAATCAACATATTTAATCATAGCCAAGACTCCTAACTTTTTCTCGAACATGACCCATTAGCTTCTGCACAGTGGTACTTCCCACCATTTTGACCACTTTTGGCCAATCTTTTTTGAATTTTTGGATGTCATCCGCTGGTTTTATTAATTTTCGAAGCTTTGCTTTGGTTAAAGCCCAAAAAGTCTCGATTGGCCGTGCCTCCGGGCAGTTCGGCGGATTCATGTCTTTCGACACGAAACATACATTTTGACTTTTGTACCATTCTAAAGTGTCCTTTGCGTAATGACATGACGCCAAATCAGGCCAAAATACGACTTGACCTTCGTGCTGCCTAATCATCGGCAACAATCGCTTCTGGAGACATTCCTTAACGTATTTCTGAGTGTTCATCGTCTCCGTTGTGATGTACGGACTAGATGTTTTACCTCACTCGCATATTGGCTGCCAAACCATAACATTCTTACCGAATGTTTCGGTAAAAAATGCCTTCTCCGTTTCGGGGATGTCCTTGCCTTCGCTTACAGTATAGAATTGTGGTCCGGGAAGCGTTTTGTAATCTAGTTTCACGTACGTTTCGTTGTCCATTATTATACACCCAGAATTTCGACATAATACCGAATCGTAGAGTTTGCGGGCCCGTGGTTTTTTCTGCTTCCGGTATGTTTTTAGCCCAAGTCTTTCTTTGGCACGCATGACGTTACTCGACGAGGTCCCTAGTTTTTTTTTGCAACATCCCGAACGGAAGTCACTGGTTTTCGTTTGTAGGCATCCCTGATCTTTTTATTGATATCCGGACTTACAGGACCGGATTTCCGGCCACTCTTCGGCGCATCTTCAAACGTACACTGTTCTCTATATTTTTTAATCGCAGTTCGTACCGCTCCGACGCTTACACCCTCTTCCTTGGCCAATTTTCTCAAGGAGAGTCCGCTCACAGTGCACCATTTGTGCACGATACTTTTTCGTTGTTCCGGAGTAAGACAGGAAACACAAAACTGAGCACTTTTTTGATGCTATGTCATTCAAAAATGAGCAAACAAAAGGACGCAGCCAAAACATATTGAAATATTTCATTATATTCAAAGTGACCGTTAAAATAAGGTGTGCTTATACTTTCTGGAACAGTATATAAAACCACATGTAGTGATGAAACGTTAATAAATGTATATCTGGACTCAAAACGATGACTCTGGGTTCTCTGATCCAAGATATCCTTGATTTCTATTGTTCATGTTGATGATTGAATGAATTCTGTTCTGGAGCTGGACTCTGGATACTGGACTCTGGGATCACATAATTGTGTTAGATTCGGGACATCCGTTAAAATGGTAATTTCATTAAACTGATACAACCTGGATGTGAATGTGGCCTCTCAGAGGGGTACAGAGCAGCTCTCGGGAAGATCCAGAACTTCAGTGACATTCGTTAAAACTGGTCAATGAATGAAACTGATTCTAGAGATAAGTAATTTCTTTGAATCACTTGTCTGAATAAATTTGAATTTGGGATCTGAATGTGGACTTTTGGTCCTCCGGATG